GCCCCGGGCCGGGCCCCCCCCCCCCCCTCCCCCCCCCCGGCCTCCACCCCCGTATCCAGAAAATGTATTTCGGGGAGAAAAACTCTGCGGCAGACAAGCTCTTGGGCGACTTCCGAAAAGGCCACCTGGGCTCCCTCTCCTTGGAGGCTCCCCCTCGAGCCAACGCCGCCCACAACAGGCTTCCCCTCAAGCCGGGATTGGAGGCCGGTGGCGCTAGCGGGGCGGGGGCGGGCACCTCCCGGGACGCCGCCGGTCGGCCAATGGGCGGCGGCAATATGCGGGAACCCGGGGGAGGTGTGGAGGATGAGGAGGTGGAGTTTGGGGCGGCCGCGAAGGAGGCGAGGGAGTTTGTCGGAAGCGGGGAGTTCGAGGGCTGGTGATCGCTCGAGCGGGGTACGCTTACAGTATGATGCAGTTGTGTTAAGCATCGGAAATGTCATCGGGTGTATGGGTTCTGACTCAGTTGGTGAAGGGGGCGAGGTAGGTGACTACCGCGATCTAGATCACGATGTTTTTTGTTCGTTTCGTTTGGGCTGTTCACGGGATCGTCATGCACGTAGTTCCAGAGAGGACTGCTGTGCTTGTCCTAATCTGATGTTTTATGTCGTAGGTCATTGTCGGTCTTGTTCTCGTCGCTGGCAGCGCATTAGACGTGGAGCAAGCGAGTTGACTGCGTAGACGGAATTGGACATTTTCGTGTGTTGGTGGGAGATGAGTCCGGAAGTGGCAGAAGGGCCGAATCTCTTCAGCCTCACAGCCACTACGTCGCGCACCCCTGGAGTGCTATAGCATGTCTCGCACGACAATGTCGACGGTTCTCTTACCCCCACAGCAAACCAAGACGCAACGCGCACGCACATGCGTTACCCTGTGATCGATACATGCTGGAAGCGCGACTGGGCATTTGTGGCCGAAAATGTCTTCTTTATCCGGTCCGCCCGAGGATTTGAAAAATCTAAAAATCTAGTGCCTGATGACCTGTTCATGTCGGATCGAAAGGGCGGAGCCAAACACGTACAGTAACGTGTCCAACGCGTCAACTACCCATCGAGAGAGAACTTCCTTCCAATTCCAAACCGGTGCTAATACGTGAGCCGTATGTGCTTGTGTTCCTCCTACAGTGCACTATCGAGTGGCATTTTGCCGGGCCTTGGTTTGCAAGCCTGCAACCAGCAGCGGTCACAAACTTGTGTGCACCGCTGCTGTCATGGCCATGCACGCAACAGACAGCTTCTGACGATCGCACGGAAGTTGTTTCAGCAAGAAAAACGACGGACGACCTGAGATAAGCTGGCATGGGGCGTTTTCCGGCATTTCGTTGGTTGAACGTTGACCCCATTCACTTGGCATTCTGTAGTTGCCTCCAGAACGAAAAAAAAGTTTATCGACCCGGAGCCGACGCAACCAGTGCTGCCGGTTCAACTTGGATGGCAATCGATCGGGGAGGGAGAGCAAGATTGAGGAACGTAACCCCCGTGTTCCCCTCTGTACCCGCTGTCCCCTACGGATCGAGACAGCCGGCAGCAGATCTAGCATCTGGTGCGCTGCAGCACCCTCGGACAACAGTCGAGCCGGGTTCTATTCCTCTCTATCGAAATTTCATGTAGGAAACCAACTTAGTGACAATGACCTCTTAGTTCCGACATGCTAAACAAGTCATGGGACTACTGCTGTGGTTGTAAACATTAACATTCCTCCCCGAACTTTTACCCCTCTTCCGCCCTACAGTCTTTGTAGCGACACGAACGGAATCAGGATGGATCAGCCAGATCTGTATCACTTCCATCACTCGTCGTTCTATAGACTTCTGAGGTGTGCGCGGACGATCGCTCGAATATAGACGAGGTTTTCTAGGAACTGCAACTCTGCCGGAACCAAGGAGTACGTGAAAAACATCTCCACAAACAACCCTCGTGCCACAAAGGTGCACTATTGAACCTGTTGCTTGCATGTGTACTTCACGTTCAGCACATCCAATTGAAAGGACTTGATCATCTGTGCCTCTTTCGCCTGAAGTAAACTTTCACTGACAAGCACAACGAAGCTTCCAACATCAGCTAGGCTAAACCGAACCCAAGCCAGGCATTTCAACCTCGCCTCAAGGGCAGGAGAAGAGAAGGTACTGTACCGCCTGCCAAAAATACAGCAGTCTCTCAGAAGCAACCAACAGTCTATTAGGCAACAACGAACTGCTGTCCGTCACGGCAGGGACAGCGCGGATAGACACTAACACCCCCAACGGCCTTAAAAAATACAGACGAAACAAAAGTATTATGAATGAACGATCAAGGGTAGAACTAAACCCAACCGAGAATCGACATATCGGTGTCAATACTCGTCCTCCTCGCCGTAGGACTGGCTCTCTACCTTCCTCCACCCGAACTCGCTGAGGTAACCCTTAGCACGAGATGTCCCGCTGTCGATCCCCTGATCTCGCATGTAGTTGTCGATGCCCTCTTCGGGCCATCCCAGCTTCTTCCGGAGTGCTTCCAACCTTTTCCCAACACGCGACCGCGGCACAAGGGTTGGGGTTATAGGGTAAGGACAGGGAGTGTTTGTTTGGTTTTCACATCTGTGCAATAGATTGTAGTTATGTTCTACCGCCAAATGTATCTAGACTTGCCCCATACTCGCCTACAAAAAGTGCAGGCTGGAGTTCCCTACTGCACTACGGCTGCCTCGGCACTCCTCTCAACAAGGTACCAACGCACAGCGGGTGAGACACACGAGGGTGAGAATCTCCGACATTCAAGTACTGTATGGTGCTGCCAGGGTGTACTGTTATTTTTGAGTCTCCGTTCCTGGTTTAGCACCACGCTGCTTGTGGACGGGGGCCCTGCGATGCCTCTGAATTCCAATAAGCTTTGAAGGAGAAACGATAATAATGGCGGCGCAACGAAGAGCGACCCTCACCTGTTCCGGTTGGAGTTACCGTCTCCAACAATGACCGGCCCGGCGTACACGTTCTTCAGGCTCTTGGATCGAAACGACACCAAACCATCCGACGGCCTGCGCAATACCGCATGTGGCGAGCCAAGTCAGCAAGATGGGATTGGTCAGGTTTATCCTTTTTTTCTTCGTCGTGCATGGCGATGGCGCACTGAGGCTGTTGCGACATGCATGGTACCCAGTGAAACAGCACCGAAAAATGCTAGTGTGTAGTACTCGTTCGCGTCACCGCGTACCAGTCAGTGGGATAAGGACCCCATGGCATGAAAGGGTGCAATCGTGTGCTTCTTCGGTGTTACGGCTTCCACGAGAGGTTCAGCAGCACGAAAGGTTGGTTTCTACACGCATGCCTAGCATTCCCCGTTGCCGCTCGCCGGCAGTAAAAGCCGCATCTAGACGTGCGATTGATTGAGTTTCCGTGTTACATTCACCGCCCCTTTTGATGCAAATATAGACGATGGCGAATGGAAAGGCTGGGTTACAACCACGCGCTCGTAATTGTTTTTTCTCACTTGAAGAGGAACTCGACCTTGTCGAACCCATCCGGAGGAACGGCCGACTTGGCCATCGCTGATATGTACAATGCGTCGGCGTCCTGGTCAACCAACTTCAGCTGGGGGTCGTTCTCCACCGCCTTGAGCTGTTACAGCAAGAAACCAAGGGATCCAGACATGGAAGTACAAGGAAACGTGGGAAGCAAACCGGGGGTGGGTAGGGGAGGGGAGGGGAGCTGAAACCCAACAAACGACCATCGGTCTGGACATCGAAACAGACGATCATCGGCTGGCTTCACGGGTCCGTCGCTAGGTGGCACTAACGCCGTCGAGCGCGCAATGTTCCGGGGGTGGAACCCCCAACTATCATGCTAATCTGATGGAAACAATTTCTCTAATACTGGTGCATACATCCTCCAACGAAGAGTATCTAATGTCTAGACTCCTGTTTGCCGGTGAACCTCAACCGAACATCCGATGAGGTGTGTTCTCGGGGGGAAAACCATGAAATCTTGAGCGCGCCGTCGTCGATGTAGGGTGTCTCGGCAAAAACAGTGGCAAGCACTCACCAGTTTAGCGAACGCAACGGAAGCATCCTTGCTGTCGCCCGTGTAGGACCAAGGCGCCATGTATCGTCCTTGCATTACCTGTGTGAGACGAGAGATGAATTGAGGCAGTCGAGGAGAAAAATTTGGCACGTAATTGCCCTTAGGCACATCTCGCAACGTGTCGCCGCCGCCTCTATGCACACAGCTCTTAGCTGCGCCACAACCCGAGCAACAGCAGCTACAGAAGTTTCAGCAGCAACGAAAACAACGAGAACGACTGCAACGATGACAACTACGGTGCTTTTCCGTAACAGGCCGACATGGTCATCGACGTCGTGCTCGTGGTACCGCTAACAAGACGTTCAATCAATGGACCGTTTCGTCCACTGCATCCACAATACCCCACACACGGCAGTTACATAGTTTCACTTTGCTAAGGTTGCTCCAGTCCAATTTTTTCTAGTCATCAGGCGAGCCTAGCGTCTATCGCCGTGCGACGCCGGTCAACAGACCCCTCTCACCAACTTGAACGAGGTGGAGCTAACGCAGTTCCCCTCCGTGGGGCACGCCGGCAGCGACTCGGGAACCGTCGTCCCCGCCCCCGCCGCTGAAACGCCGCCAACAGTCGCTAGCAAACCGGCAGCAGCAGCTGCGATTGCCTGCCCTCGGCTGGTCGGTCCCGAGGACTTTACGGTGCCAAGGCGGAAGGTATGCAGGAAAGGGGCGTTGTAGTTAGGGTTTGGGGTTGGGCGTAGGAAGCCGAAACCAATGGCTGCTCCACGCATTTTCAGTAAGTCCCATACGTGCCGCTCTCGCAAGGAGCTAGCTTTCGAATGGCTGCTGCTGCTGCTAGCATACACAGTTGAGCTGTGTGCCACCAGCGATCTCGCTTTTCCAGTTTACGCTTCACGCTCACGGCAGACGTTTGGTGTTGTGGGATCGATCAACCCTGGCACCGGCCGGGATCATGTGCGGCCGCTGCGCGCACTACACATGCGTTGATATTCCTACGCCAGGAGAAGCAGCGAGCCGTTCGTTCACTTGTGTGGTGATCGGCCGATGTTGTCGGCGACACATAAACAGCTTTGGAATCTTCTTGGTACTTGATCTTCCCCCTATGTGTGCAGAAACGCGGCGCCGTTCGCTGGACTGCATGCGGGCTAACCCATCGATTGTTTCGCATGAGATCTGAGATGACGTGTATGAACCGGTCCAGCAGTGACACCAAGTGACCAACGACTGAACTTATTAGACTTGCTCCAGGCGGCAGACAAGTCACGCAGCCCATGCGACGTGCATATTCGGAGCTCTATACGGTACATACGACGCACATTGCAGCAAGAGCGTTGAACCTGCTGTGCGACTGCTGTCTGTCTCACCTCAGCTGCCATCGTCACAGCCTGCACCCTTCCCCGAGAACTAGCTTGCTTCGCCACCACAGCTCCAGGAGAAACGAAGCCATGGCAGCACGTCGCGCTCACAACCAGCAAGGATGCGCTAGAGAAGCACCGCATGGTTCTCTATGGCCTCAGCTAAACAGCAGAGCACAGAGCTCGACGTGTGTCGTGCCCAAACACAACACACACCTTGCTAGCTTGGTCTTTGGTCCTTGGTAGCGGGGCACCGTAGATTCGAGGGTTTCCAGAACATGATCAGAGGGATGTGTGGTTCGGGACGAAAAAAGAGGCTCCGTGGATATCATTTTGGGGGGTCGTTGCAGCCGCTGCCTGTCGTCGCTGCTCTCAAGCTGCTGCTGTGCTGTGTGTACATCGTGCCACAACAGTCGATCCCAGGAGTAGCACTCTCGTAAGCCATGTTGATGCGATGTATGGCTGGGACAGTGCTCCTCGCCGGGGCGCGAACCCTCGCTTTCCGTCCACCGTCGACGATTTGGGGCGTGAAAGGTGAGAGCTGCGGGAGAGAGAGCTGACTACCCCCCGTTTGTTTGCAGTTGCCCCCTGACATGCTGAGTCGGGCGGTGTCGCATGTTTAAGTTGCGTTCGGAGTTCGGAGACTCCATCAATACCTCTAACGGTCCAGATTGCGCCCATGGCCTACGATGGTACCCGGAAGAGTGTGTTGCGAAGGCATTGAAAGGAGGTACACTTTACGTAAAAAAAGTAGTGCTGTGTCTCATCAGCACAGCAGGAGAAATGACAGTTGATGTTGCATCAGCGACGGCCGTGTTGGTCGTTGCATGCATAGCAGCGCGTAGCAGCTGGAAATTAGATACACCTGACGACGTGAGGCAGCACGCACGCAATCCGTTCCCCTTGGATACCTCCAAAGCGACCGTCGCATTGGAACAAGTCAAGTGGGGCGTAAAGTTGTCAACGCGCTCCACTCCTGCGATCTGTAGGGAGTAGGGAAGGCCCCTGGCGATCATCATGCCCAAGATACCACCATCATGATATGTACGCTTAAGCACCGCACGACGCTTCCGTTCCGAAGCACCTAAGACTAAAAATGTGTGTTTGGAGCCACGGTCCCCCCTTGATGCAGGAATTATTATTACATACCCAAAAAGTTGAGCAGTTGGTGGAAACATGAACATGCACCCAGGAACGAATCCATCAGCAGTACGTGCGTAAGACTCTTTGTACATCGCACCCCCGTCTTGAAAGCCTGTTATTGCGAGGACTCGTAGAAAAGGCAGAGGTATGTTGCATAACGTGCTGTATGCATGCATGTGAACAGTATTGGAACTATAGATCGTACGACACCTGTACGAATTTGACCATGTGAACAAAATGTCTAGGTTATGTACGTAGCCTGCGGACAAGTCTGAGAGCTCCCACCCATGCACCTCCTCCACCCCACCCCACGCAACGGACTGAAACACTCCAAACGACATCACCGCATATTTGATATCTGGGTCCCTACTGCGGCAGTGGCCGGCCAGGCCGCAATGCGCCGACAGGTGGGCTCGCCGGTGCGATCCAGCTCTACCATGAAGCTTAAAACCGGGATCGTGGGGATGCCCAACGTGGGCAAGTCGACGTTGTTCAACGCTGTAACGGAGGCGCAGGGAGCAATGTGCGCCAACTACCCGTTCGCGACGATCGAGCCCAACATCGGGGTGGTAGAGGTGCCGGACGGTAGGCTGAAGGTCCTCGCTGAGATCAACAAGTCGGTCAAGACCGTGCCCAGCACCCTGGACTTTTACGACATTGCGGGGCTCGTAAAGGTGACGATGCGACAGACCCATGGGACCGGTTTGGGATCTCTTTCGTCGCGTTCGTTAGTTGTGCTTGGAGACCGTCGTGTTCGCTTTGATTGTCGATCTGCATACACAGGGGAGGAGGAAGTCTAGCCGAGTTGGTCAGGCGCCCGATTTCGGTACGGCGACATCGGAGGATAGAGTCCTGATCGGCAATCGGGCAAAATGGTAACGGTACACACAGAAAAATGTAACAATGTATTCTGGTAGGTTTAGATTTCCAGTGCCGTTTCCATGAGAGCTGTAACAACATCCCAGTCCACCCATGCCGCGCTGCCTCCGACGCGTTGGGGCAAACAAACCTGTGGCCGCGCAACGTGGCTTTGAGTGCTGAAAATCTTGGAGGTTGTCCCGCACGCGCTGGGTCTTTTGACACTCTTATCCCGGTCGTGCTGCTTGCATGACACGGGAGGCCAGCTTGCGGCTGTCCATTGCAAGGAGAATGTCGATCGCTGGCAGTACGCCTTGCAGTCTGAGATGACGGTCGCAATAGCCCCCTGCCCGGCTAATCTGTTGTTTCGCCTGCGTTTACAGCCTGTTATTGCTGTTATCTCGAAACTGCTGTTGTCGTGTTGACTGCTGTCCTGGTGACGATCTGCCTGCGATTGCTTGCTGGCCGCCTGTATGCTGTGACGTGCCATCCCACGCCGTGACAGGGGGCGAGCAAGGGAGAGGGGCTAGGAAACCAATTCTTGGCAAACATCCGGGAGTGTGACGCCATCGTGCACGGTGCGAACACACACGTTGAACAGTGGTACTATTTATGTTGAGCAATCTACGGTGCCCACACCCGCCCGCTCACCTCCGCCCCTCTCACATCGAGCCGTCCTCGTTCGGGAAAGAAATCGACTTTCTCCTGCCGGTAGAGTTTCGTTACTAGGCTCTGCTTGCCATGGGCATCAACTGTTATTTTTTGTCGCCGGTTGGTGGCTGTTGTTCCTTGGGCAATCTCTTCGCGCGGTGCAGAGCGGCACGGTTGCAAGCGGGGCTCCTGTAAGTGGTGTACGAAGAATGTGTTCGTTCGTGTGTACAACATCCCTTTTCACAGGTGTGCTTCTGCTTGCTTAGCGTCTGGCGTCAGTCCGTACGCAATCCTCTCGGGGCGGAAAACTTGGAAAGCGGCTCGCTGACGAAAAAAGACAATCCTGCCACTGGACAGAGACACTTCACAAAATGTCAGCAAATTACGGAACCCAAGTCGGGGGTGGTCATTACTTCTTACCTCCCTTCATAAGAGCTTCGGAAACTGTCCACAATGCCAATCGTGCCCATTTTGTGAGCTGTACTGTATGCTTGATTTTTTCTTTTTTTCGTGCGCGACCATGTAACCAGTCGTGAGATGTTTCGAAGACCCGGATATCATCCACGTGGAGGGCAGCGTGGACCCTGTCCGCGACATCGACATCATCAACATCGAGCTGGCGCTGGCAGACATGGCACAGGTGAGGATATGAAGTGCGCAACAGTTGTTCACCGAGCAGCATTTGCCGACGGCATGATCGTAGGTTGGTGGTTGTGACGCAACATCGAACAGCTCATTTTATTCGAGCGAAGCGAGATTTCTGATCTGGCATGAGGTCTCGCCGCAATATAGGGCCCCATCAAGACCGAAACGTTTGTACAGTCTCTTCCCATGCAACACCCATGCGTAACACAACTGTCACGCCCCGAGATATCGCAGTGGAGCACACGATCGAAGTGGTGTCATGACGATTGGTGCGCTAGGTGACGAGAACTGACTTGTGTCCTGCTGTTTCGCTGGCAGTTGCAAAAATTCATACCGAACAATAAAAGAGGGAACAGGGGGTTCATCAATAGTATGCGGGGGGTATGTATGGCCACGAAAGCGGGATGTGGACGGGGGGGGGGTAACCGGTAGATGAAAGTTAACGTTACCACAGCTCTCACACCAGCGCACAGCAGGTGTAGTACCAAGTGGGTGGTGTTTGCACTCTGTTTCCGCCCGTGGACGCACACGTCTGACGACAGTTACATCTATCAGCTGTCGCTCGTTGTAGCGACAGCTAGTATATCTTTTGCCGTCGCGATTATACTTTTGTACCAACAGTAAGCAAGCTAGCATCGCGACGAGGCCGAGTTTGCATGGATGGAATCCGCGCACAGCGTAGAAGGTGGATGGACGTTCTGTTCGCTCGAAATCGCGACTCTCCCCCAACTCGTTGTTGCTTCTATCGATAGGTAGAAAAAATATTTTTTGAGCCGTTGGCGAGGCAGGAAGAAACGGTGATCGGTCCAGTGGGGACAATACTCCGTCCTCTCGAGGACGCGAAATCAATGGTCTAACCGCCAGCGCATGCATAACATGAGTACCCCACCAAACTCTTTGTCGCCAACGCGTGTTTTCGTGGCGTCGCGGGAAGGTGGAAAAGCGTTTGCAGAAGGTAGCGAAGGACAAGAAGGCCACTGCGTCGGAAAAGACTGGGTTGGCGAAGCTTCTCAAGGTTCTTGAAGAAGGTGGGTCGTGACCGGGTTGTGGGTGGGGCGCTGGTTACCCATTGGACGCATGGCAATGCCAACGCCTCTCTTTTTAGCTACATATCCGTTGCACGCATGGTCGTGTCAACTCGTTTCTTGTTGGCTTGGAACCAGCACGAGTGGCGCCACTGGTTTGTCTCTTGTGACCCGCCGAGCACGCCTTTGTGGTCCTGTTGTCTTCTGGGTCTAACCCTAAGGCTGTCCCGCTCTTCCGTCTTGCTGCTTGCTGTCGAAGTGTAGGCAAGCCGGTGCGAACAGTGGAGCTCACGGAAGAAGAGGCTAAGGACACGGCGTACCTCGGTCTCTTGACAGCAAAAAAAGTGCGTTGGTTTATGGTAGCAGACAGACAAAATGCATATCGTTGCCTGTCGCTTCTTGTGTACCAGTTCCCTATGCTAAATAGACTACATTTTTTGCCAGTCTTCAATGTGGTATGGTCCACTCTCCTGTGCTCTGTAACCGCCGGTGGGCTGAATTAAACGGGAGGTGAGATTATGGAGTTCGACAACAACACGGGATCTGTGGTTTGGCTGTGGGCATTTTCTCGTTTGAAAAAACGCCCAGTATAACTTCCACAATTTTTTTGTCTGTTCACTTTTTTTTGAGTCGGTCGGAAAATAACTTGAAACCAGCACAAGATGTTTGTTCATCGAACGGGTTGTCTTTGCCGCCTATCATACCTTCCCCCTACCGCCTTTTTTTCTAATATTTTCCAAGGTTATCTACGCGTGCAACGTGGCGGATTCGGACCTCGCCGATGGCAACGCAATGGTTGACGGAGTAAGAAAATTCGCAGAGGAGGAGGGGGCTAGGGTTGTGATCGTTTCCGCTCAGGTGGAGTCGGAGCTGGTGGACTTGGACGGGGAAGATAAGCAGGAGTTCCTGGAGTCCTTAGGTGAGGCGGCACTCTCTGCCTTCCTGGTGTTGATGGCCGCGTGCTGGTGTTGGTCTCATGACGAGTGTTTTGGTGTTAGCTTTTTAGTTTTTTTTCTACGGTGACGGCAGGCTGGAGTGTGAAGCGATCCTTTCTTGTAGTCAGAGCTGCACCGACCCACTGCTAGGTTGGATTTTGACCGATCGGTCGATTCGTCTTGGTCTGTTGAATAGGTAGGGGTGCGGGCTACAAGTCATGTCTCCCCCTAGACATCGAGTGTACATCATGTCCGCCCCGTTCACGAATCTGAAGATTCTACTCTTTCTTATCTACTATGTTCTATAAGTTTCCATGACCGCGGAAAAACAATTTCAGATTCGGTCCTGTTGCGGTTGGTTTTTGCATCTCTCAACATTTACAGGATTGCACTTATTTACCGTCAAGACATATCCATTCCCATGTCCAACAATGTTTTTTTCTTGGGAGAAACTCGCGGGGTCGTTAGACCAGTGAGACGGGACACAGCTCTGCGGGTGCCGGCTTGCTTGGCTCTCCGTGACGTTGTTTCCATTCCCATGAAAAACTATCACTTCTTTTATGCCACCCTCTTTCATACAGCAATGTTGCCGGCCTGCTCACATGAGGGGAAACACGGCTAAAGAGAACGAGGTGAAAGATGCGCCGACCGTGGGCGTGGAGTGGTACTCGAGCACCCGCCCGCGTGACCGATTTTCTCCCACGAAGGAGTTTCAACTTCTTGTGAGCGCGCTGCTTCTACAATACTCCTGTTGTGTTTGCAATGAACTGGATGAATGCGCAGGTGTTTCAGAGGAAACCTGCGGGCTGCGAGCGTTAGTCAAGGAGGCGTATACGGCGTTAGGGCTGCAGACGTACTTCACCTCGGGGGAGACGGAGACGAAGGCGTGGACGATCTACGCCGGTTGGACAGCCCCGAAGGCGGCGGGGGTCATCCACAGCGATTTCGAGAGGTGTGTTTGTTGTTGGTGTTGCTGGCGCTGTGTTCGAACTTGATGATGATCAATGTTGTTGTTGACGGTGTTGTTGCAGGCATTCCATGTATGGCCTTTGTTGCGGCGGCGGTGATGTCGTATTGTAGTCGCTGTCGTTGCTCCTGGTTTTGGTTGTTGTCGCTTTCGCATCATCTGGTGCATAAGAATCTACGCCCCACCTTCTTGCCGCAAAACAAGCTCTGTGGCTGCGCTTTGACCATTTCCGCCGTAGGCGTTTGGCGCTTTTCTTCTCCCATTTGACCGCCCTCGCTCCCCATGCTGGTAGGACGGCTTGGTTTCATCGCGTGGTCGGTCTGGTGCTAGTTGCTTCGGGCAATGCAAAGATGTGTGGGTCTTCGTCAGGCTGCCGCCTTGAAACCGACAACATGCGCATCCCTGTATTCCTTTCTGCCACGTCTCTTTGTTCGAGACACGTGTCTTCCTCGCTGCTGCAGATCTCCCATCTACCCGGATCGTTGCTTTGTTTTTCGCTGTGCGTGCCTCCTTGTTCGCCGATCACTTTCTCTGGCCGTCTGCCCGTGATGTTTGTCGTTCGCTGTGATGGTTTGAATGAATGTCCAGGGGGTTCATTCGCGCCGAGGCCATCAAGTACGAGGACCTGGTCAACTGTGGCAGCGAGAAGGCGGCCAAGGAAAAGGGGCTGCTGAGAAGCGAGGGGAAGGAATACGTCGTCCAAGAAGGGGACGTGCTCCACTTCCGCTTCAACGTGTCCAAGTAGTAGAGAGACAGGCACCGCTTAGAACGCAACAAGTAAATAGCTTCATCCCCGCCAGTGACAAGCTCATCCTCCCTTGGCGACTTGCCCCCTCATGCGAACGAGCTTCTCCCCCCTTGCAGAGCAGTGGAGAAGAGGGCAGCTTAGAGTATCTCGCTGTATTGTCGTGACCCTGGGGGAAGAACGTTTTGATTGCGGGGTGCCATTGAAGAGATCGCGAGGAACTTGTTCCCTATACTGCTGTAGGATGTACTATTGATCGGGGTGATGTGAGCGGACGATAGTAGTCTGTTCGACTCGAGATGTTGCTACACCGGCCGCGTGCCGGTAGTGGTTTGGGCGCGGCGGAATATCTTAGTGATTCGCGTGGTATTCGTTGAGGTCGGCATGAACAAGATTTTTTGGTTGTGGCATTACACTCCTGTTCTCCTGCTGGAATGACTTTCTAGAGAACCCGCCACTTCTTTTGCTGCACGGTGTTTCTTTGTGCCTCTGCAGTTCATTGCAGCCACTGCTGTGTGGGTTTGTTTCAGTGTGGAGTTTTTTTTTTTTTGTCCAGGCACCATTCGACTGACAGTTTAAGGTCTTTCGGTAATTTTACTTTTTTGCGAGATTCAGTTTTCTGCCGACCCGCTCTTGGGATGCCAGAACGGATCCTCGGTTGGCAGTCGGTGGCTTCAAGGTGCCCCCAGCATGGGCAGCTTCGACAGCAAAACCGTCAGCTCGTGGAGCAAGTTTCTACTGCAAGCATTTCACCCGAATTCGTTCCTTTGCGATAACACCATCATGGCAGCACATGACGATGTCGTACAAATTTAATTCGACGCTCTGCTACCATCCCCTCCCCCTTCTCCTTCGCGCAATTTCAATATGTCTTCACCGTCTTTATTGACGCGCTCTTGATCTAGGTGATCTGGAAGCCGTATTTTTTCAGACTATGCCCCTAGTGCCACACACAGCAGTCCTGAATTTTCCCGAATTAGCTTGTTACACTCTTTCGAAGTACATGCATTGATGCCTGCACATTCAGGGTCACGAGACGTTATCAAGCACTCGACAGGGTGGAGAGAAACAACTTTGCGTATCTAGGTTTGGTTAAGTCACAACAGAAGGGAAACGTGTATGGGATTTGGAGACAGACATGTGATCGTGGCTGACCATGGTTATTTGGCGTCGTCAGATGCGATGACGTGACGTCATGCTTCCATGCCGAGGCATGTGCCCTTCTGTTCAGTGTGCGTAAGGTCCGGTGATCGTGCGTGGTTAGGATCTTGTGAGTTGGCTTGGGAAAGGGTTAATCAAGACAAAGAGAACAGCGGAAAGCAACAACACAACCTGCACCTCTGGTTGGACAAGAGAGTTCCAGACAGCTTACTGATAATTGATTCTGAAGGAAGGGGTCAAATCTCGTTAAACTGGCGTCGTCGGTTGAATTGCGAACGAGAAGCCTGAAGATTCCCTTCGCACGGAAGATTCACTTCGGGAGTGAATCAGCATTCACTTCCGGGAGTGAATCCTGCGGGAGACTTCGCTGACTTGTCATTCGGGTCTTTGTGGAGATATACCCAACCAATCTTTGCGCTCAGTGCGATCTGCGATATGAACTGACCTGCAAGTAGACCCTCGTTCGTGCCTATTGGAGGTAAAACTACACCGCCGGGTGGTTGGAGCTGGGCTACGCGTCGGAATATGTATGCTCTTCTTCAACTTCATTCCTAGAGCCTGTACAATACTGCACGCATCAGTGGTACATAGGCTACAGCATGCACACAATATCCAACAGCGGAGCGGACCCTCGGACTTGTAGGTACATTTTGGATGTAGTCTACCGGGATAGCAACTGGCAGAGGCCCGCGAATATACAGGTGAAACGTGTTTGTTTGTTGTTCTTGCGTAACGTACGAAGAGGAGGGCCGGGCGCTATCAAAAACGAAGGAACGAAAACACCACGGAGCAGTGGTGTGATCACTGCCGCGGCATGACACGACCGTACACAGGCCCTTTTTGCCATTAGTCGGCTTCGTTCCACGAATAGTCAAAGACGCCTCGTTAGATACCGCAGACGTCGCCAACCAAGCTTGGATAGTATAAACCTCCCCCAACACGCTTACCGTGCCTTGTCCATGCCTACCCAAGCCTAGCACATGCTAACCTCGACCGGCCGGTCTTTCCATGTTTGCTCTCTCCATAAACGCAGCCTGACCAGAATTTCCATGTCCTGCTCGTCAGCTTGACCGTACTTGTAGTTCCAAATGGATGCGCCGTTTCCATACCCTGCTCAACAAGCCTTTGGCCTCTGCATATATTTTACCGACCTGCAATTTACATTTTTTCTTTTTTCCATTCAGTACTCAATCGTAGTCGTGCCTTCTGGGTTGGCGGGAAAAGAAAAAACGGAGGGTGCTGTAGCTCTGTCCGCATGTCTCCTCTCCGTACCCTCTGGCTTCCTTGTTCTTCTATCTGACCTCCCCACCCTTCTCCACGTTTGCTTGTCTCGCTCTCCTGCGTTTGGATGCTTCCTGGGCAAGAGTCCATTTTGCTCTTTTTATTGTTCATCTTTGTAGTCGTTACTTACGTACAGTAGTTGCTGTATCATACCGGCCCCGCCGCCTTGTCTTGGGATTGCTCGGTCCCGGCTTTCGTAGGGAGGTGAGGTCCATGGTCTAACGACTAATGTACGGGACGCACGGCTAGGAGTACACCGTATGTCTTCCGTGACACGCCTACTCGAACCAACTACTGTCGACACATCGCGAAGCATCCTTGATGTCAACCCCTCTCCCCCGAGGCCGGTTCAACACTTCACCATGAAACCGAACTTTCCGTGGAAAAGACAAACCATTTTGAGTCTTCAGGCGTTCTGACTGATCATTGATTGATCATTTGCAAATGCTATTGTAGTGGCAATTCGTGGAGTTGCCGCCCTGCAGCCCTTCGCGCCGTGTATTGGCAAGTCCATAGGTAGGCGGGTCTAGATTATTAGCACCCGCGCTAACCGGCTGACCAATGAAGAGACGTCAGTGACAGCGAGTAATATCAAGGTCTCGGGAATGGGGCAATCAATGCCAAATCAACGTATGTACATGAACGTATGTGTGCATACATACATACATACATACATACATACATATGCGTTCTTTCGCAGCACTCGCCCCAACGTAGGAAACCACTGCTGCAAAGAGCAGAGGGCAGAAAAAGGGGGGGGTAATGCAAGCCCTGCCGAAGCTCAGATATCGAGGATATCGTGGTTGCTGCATCTCCCAACAATTTGAAAATCGTTCCCAAGATCCAGCAGTCATTGTGTCAGCAGCCACAACGAACGCTACAACAACACTACTACTGCTGTAGACGAGTAACACATATCAACAACACATCCACACTCGTAGCGACACACTTACCCTCGCCCGAACCTAGGAAACCACGAGGTACAGGTGTGTGCTGGTGGATGTGCTTGTTTGAAAAACACAGGAGCTCTGGAGAGCTAGCAGGGCACATATCGGGGGGGGATAGAGAACAGAGAAGTACAGACGTACAAATACCAGCTATGGGTCTTCACTGATCATTTTACCCTCTCTCCCTGGCCCGGTTGAACACTTCAACGTGAACCGATTTTTCTGTGGAAATATAGACTACAGTACATCGTTACTCTTATCACCGATTAGCACTGGTGAGGGCTACTTGTGGCAAGAGCAATAGTTCTTGGGAAGTAACCAAAACTCTTATCTTCCGTCCAGACTACCACATCGACTACGCCACGCACGACGCCTAAGCATCTCGACGGCAAATACGTGTCAGGCCGGAGAGGCACTCGATCCCCACGATCACCTTCTCAATCGCCTCCCGCCTCCCTCGAAAAACCTCCCCATTCTCGACTTGCGCGCGACGGACTTCAACAACGCATACTTCGTGCGTTTTTCTCGTACGAGACGCGCCCCTTCCCTCCCGGGTCCTTCACCTTAGGCAACGCCCGGGGGAGGGGGCTCTCCACATCACCCTCTTTACCGTGTCCCTCAACAGGGCTACGTCGTCATCGGGCTCCTCTAGCCACCCGGCCCTGATCCTGTACGCGCTCGTTTTCGGGTAACTACGTTTTATAAAAAAAAAAACACTCTCCGACAGTGTACCAACTCCTCCAGCACGCTTCCCTCTGGCTCTGGCTCTAGAGATGCCCAATTGTTGAACAAAAAAAAAAAGCGGGAGAGGAATGACAAGATAGAGAAACAAAGCGACATCAACCGCGAACCCGAAACATCTCCTTGACAGACAAAACGTACTCGGACACCGACATGTTTTTGGGCATGCCACCGATGATGGCGAGGGCACGCTTGATGTCTTTGTCGGGGGCCCGGAAGACCCTGCCTCTCCTGTCGACGAGGACCTTCTTCAGCTGGACGTAATTGTCGAGCTGTCTCGCGAAGCAGATTCTTGTATTGCGAGGGCACTCGGTCACAAGCGTCGGTGGCCTCCTCTGGATAGCCTCGTCGACGTCACCCCGGACCGTGTTCCTGAAAGTCAACCCCCAGTACGTCTTGTCGCAATACCCGTGAGGTATGGTAAAGTTGGCCGATTTTAGCCATCGCCTTTTTGACAAAGGAAGGTAACCCTGCATGAGACTCCGAGTCCGAGCCTTAACGTCTGCAGCACGGTTACCCTTCTGGCCATTCCAAGCCGTAACGTCTGTATCACGGTTCCCCTTCCGGCCATTCACCTAGTGACGAGACAGCGCGGGCAAGAGAAATCAACCGCGAACCCTCAGCATCTCCTTGACAGACACAGTGTACTCAGACACCGGCATGGGGATGAGGCCATCCACGTCGGCGATGGAACGGCACGCTCGACCTCTGCGGTCGTGTCCGGGAAAAACCGAGCACTCCCTCAGCGCGACGTTATCTCTGGCCTCCCGAGCGTGGCGGTCTTCGAGGCAATACGCCTGTTTTTAGCGAGTGGCGTCTTACAAAGTACAGCCACCTCGAGGTCACCCCGGCCCGTGTCCCTGAACACCATTCCATTGTCATCCTCTGCGCGAAAGCCTTCGGGTACGACACAAATTCGGCAGTGGAATAGTCCACTTCGTTGTGGAGCAGGCATTGTTGTAGCCGTCCTTGTGAATGCCCATGAGGCCCACAGCCCAAGCCTTAACTCCCTCATCACAGATATTACCCCGGCCATGCACCCATCGACGAGACGATGCTGGCAATAGAAAAAGCCCGAAGACAAAACACAACAAACACATCGAGCGGTGGATAAATAGGTATTGGGATCTTGGCGCTTGCGGCGAAGACAACGGAGACACTCACATTCTCATCGATCACGGTCTCCGCGTCCTCGTCGGAAAGCTCTCCGCCCTCCTCCTCTTCCTCCTCGTCCTCTTTCTCTTCTTCCGCCTCCCGTTCCTCCTGTTCATTTTTCATTTGTGTCCGTATCAGTACTGTTAGGTGCCGATCGTTTGGCTCTACTGCCGTAGCAGAGCGAGCACGTGTTATGTGTGTTCCTTCGCCGTTGACGCAAGTTGACGTGTAATATTTCACCAAACTTCCAGCGGGAGCGGGTGCCCCAGTCTTGAAAGATCCGTTCGAATATATATATTTTGTACTTAGCACCAGCTGGTGTCACTGATATATAAATCATCAGTGTATAGACTTAAATAGACTCGAAATAAGTCCATTACCCAGCCGTTTTTCCTCCACTTACTGAAAAGACTCCACCACATCCCGTTCGAATGTGGGTATATCTCGAACGGGTAGTCTTTCTCAGTGTGTATTTATTTTTCCAAATATATCCCGCAAGCAATGAATTGCGTGTTCCTGGGTTGCTGCGCTGATACCCGGAAGAAGCGTGTCTCGCACCTTGCACAACATCGCAGATAGATAACTGCATGGTATTGAGTCGTCCCCCGCGGCTCGTCACCCCCGCCTCTAGGACTGAAGAAAAAATAGCTCTGCGTAGTTAGGTCTGGGGGCGTGCTACGCGCTGTGTCTACCAGTGCCACGCCGCAAAAAACAATGCTTTCAACGGTTTGGACGTAAATTGTCCTTCCATACATTACACAAAACAAGATGAAAATGCCCAAATCAACAGGGAAAACAAGTAGTCCGGAAAACTGTTGTGTGCCCCTTCTCCCACCCCGTTGGTTCCGGATGAGCACTCTTTTCCTGCCTCCTTTCCATCTCAGGGCTCGGTTTAAGATATTTCCTCAGGAACATGGAAAATTTTCTCTTATAATGAGCCGCGGAGCGGCGAAGCCGCGACCGTTCTTCTGTCTCTGTCCCAGGAGGGGAAAAAACAGGCTCTAAATATCGGCCTGTTCCAACGCCCAAACTTGATTTCCGGGGGCCAAAAAAGAATCTCGTTTTCGATCCAACCAAGACCGATTGACGATCTGTTGGCTTCTGAGGAGGAAGAAAAATAGGGCACTCTTCGTCACACCGGTTTGGTCGTGCCCCGGCAACAGATGGCCGTACAAGACTCCAATCGACACAAGCACCGGTAGGAGTGTGTGAAACATGCGCACACAGCACACAGCAGCGGATGGCAGGTCGGGCGGCGAGCACGTCAAGTATTCCCATCACACAGCTCCCTTCAAACGCGTCAAGTGGGAACCGAACACCGCCTTCCCTCTTCTTGCAGGCAGACTCCTTCCGCTACACCAGAATTCCACTGCTGTATCTTGTCCTACAAGACTCCAATCGACACAAAAGCAGGTAGGAGTGTGTGGAACATGCACTCGTAGCACACAAGAGCGGACAGCAGGTGAGGCGAGGCCGCGCGAACGTCAAGTGTTCCCGCCACGCAGCTCAAAACGCGTCAAGTGGGAACCAACATTGCAATCTCACTGGCGGGGCACATAGCCTTGCTTACCCCACGAGCTGGATGTCGTCATACAAGACTTAAGTCGACACAGGACACGCACAGCAGTACTGCAGTGCTGCTGTGTGCGATGTGTTGTGCGTGCATCAACTCTACACTCCTACCACGGTGCTTGTGTGTCCATCGGAGCCTTGTACACAAGAGCGAGATCCTAATGGTGGGATACGTAGACACAAATTCCCCACCGGTGGGGCACAGCCGTAGTGGGGTCATGGCTGCACCTACACGGAACCCTCAGGGCTTCACGATTGGTCACACGATAGCCTACAACGCCGCAACACAGCTTGTGCGTATCCTGTGTCGACTGAAGTCTTCCACGACGACAACAGCTGATGGAGAAGCAAGGCTGTGTACCCCACCATCGAGATTGCAGTGTTCAGTTCCCACTTGGCGCGTTTGTTTGGAGCTGTGTAGCGGGAGTACTTGACGTGCTCGCCACCCGACCTGTTGTCCGCTGCTGTGTGCTGTGCGCGCATGTTTCACACACTCCTACCGGTAATTGTGTATGCAGCTGGTTATGTAACCCACCAGTAGGGAAGGTCGGGGCAGCCGACATATTTCCCCCATCAGCCATGGCTGCACCAAACCTGAACCTTTTCGGCTGTACCATGGGTCCCACGATAGCCCTACAACACCCCCCCCCACCAGTTGTTGTGCATGTCCCACACGTCGATTGTTGCGTTGTAGGTCGAGACAGCTGGTGGGGTATTTAGACACAAATCCCCTACCGGTGGGGGGAACTACCAACCTCACGTGTGTGGATTAAGACATGCCGAAATATAGTACTATCGTGCACCAGTACTCCAATGCGCGTGGCGAGGGGAAGGGGGGGGGTGGTATCTTTCGCTTCACCGAACCCCGGGAGAGTTCCGGGAAAACAGAAACCAGGCTGCAGCTATCGCCTGCAAGTGTTGTACAAGACCAGAGAGAGAGAGAAGGAGGGAGAAAGAAAGAGAATACCGTTTGTAAGCATATCACTGCTCTAAATTATTGTTGAGCGCCATGTTCCTACAGTTGAACTACTGCGGCGGCAACCTGAACCGCTGTGGTCCCAAAACCGATTGCACACCTCGGTCACGAAGGTCTCTAAATGCCGATCAAGTACCGTCCGCAGCTGCCCGCGGGTCATCTTCTTGGTGCGAACGCTCTTGGTCATGTCGTAGACGCTCGACAGTCGGCCGTACAGCGGCTCGGACCGCTTCTTGACGCGAGACAGGGCATCCGTCAAGATCCTGTAGTGATCCTCGTCGAAGATGCCCTGTACCTCTCCAAATCTGCGGTACATGCCACCTATGTGCCCGAGAGTTAGGACGTCGCCTGAATCACGCACGCTTGCCGGCTCCATCGTGGTGTAACCAAGAGAGAGAGAGGGAGAGAGAGACGTGCGCGGGGCGCAGGGACAGCCAGAGCGGCAGCTGCAGGCGAGCTAGCCAACGTGCCAGTCAGGTGTTGGAGCCATCTCCTGTGCCCGAGTAGGTAGGGGGGCGCCGCAAAATCAGATGCGGGGTAAATGAAAGCAAGGGCACTGTGAGCGAGCATGATCAACCTCTCAGACCAAGGAGACAGAATCATCCATCTGTCTTAGCTACCACGTACGACACAATGTTGCGAACACCGTATAGCACGAAACACGCGTACTCTTTCGCGTCGACCACTGTCCATGAACCGGTCCAATCACCATGCGACGCACACGCGTCCTGGAGTGGAAATCACGCAAATAGACAGCAGTTTTCAACCCGCCCACAAGCATTTGCTATACCAATAGTCTACGCTAAAAATCATTCGTAGTCGTGTGCATAGTAGGCTCTACTACGTAATAGAGCCCTGTTTGTCTTTCGAGATTCTGCGGACCATGGTGGCATGCATACATATGTATCCGCTGTTGAACATGTATGTAACTACTAAAGATCATGAGATTACAGATTACGAGATTATTATCCTAAAATACCAATCAATAGTCCATATACACAACAAGTACATATATTTCCCACACCTCTCTCTTCATCCATTTGCTGTAGGAGTCGTGTCCTGTCGCAGACAGACTGCTTCCGTTGAACACATACCTGTTTGTTTCCACCCGCAGTAGTACCCCAGGTGATGCTGCATTCGCCTCGTTTTCTTGCACGTCTAGCACTCTGAATTTCTGAACTCTCCGACGGAAATGAATTTTGGCCGCCCGTGCACACAGAACAACGGTGAAAACGAAATAGAAAAAAATCGGTGGAGTTGGGGTGCATGCAGTACTGTAGCGAAGTACAAAAATTACAGTTATTGCATCTTTCATCTATGTTTGTTTTACTTGATGTTAACACCCCTGAGAGGTAAAATGGGATACTGTGCAAGTTATTTTATTTCGTGCATACTTACTTGGTCGCCGTTGTTTGGAGGCAGGCAGCTTCTTGTCAGAAGCGCAGAGAAGAAAGGTTGACTCAAGACCTTGGAATATTAACAAGTGCGCCGGACATGCTAACATACATGCTAACCCATGCACAGCAGAAGGGGGACCGCCCCTCTACCAACACATACCGCTAATGATACACGAAACCCCCTGGATCTCCGTAGATCGGTATCGAGTGCTGAGTACCCCCAAACAGCAGTGTTCCGGTGTCATTCTGATACCCGTATCCTCTCCCAACCAGGTCTAACAAGCGGATCTCGACCCATGGGGCACGTCTGGCAACACCTCGAGTATGCCTCGGTAGAGCATCGCAAGTCAATGACCCTCACCAAGGTCCCCGAACAAGCTTGCCGTGACTTTTCCATGCCCTGCCCATGCCTAGCACATGCCAACCTCGACCTGCCGGTCTTTCCATGTCTCGCCCTCGCCAGAAACACAGTCCAACCGGTTCGTTCACTGTCCTGCTCATCAGCCAGAAGCACGCCCACCTTGATCGCCGTTCCAAATGAATGCCCTGTTTCAATTCCCTGCTCAACAAGCCTTTGGTCTACCAGAACCCTGCTTACCGACCTGCAATTTACTTTTTCCATTCACTCCTCAATCGTAAATAAATCGTACCTTCTGGGTTGGCGGGAAAAGCAAAATACGAGTATATTATACGGAATGTCTCTGTCTACTGTCTCCTACCCTGTGGCTTCCTTTTTTATCTGACCGCCCCGCCCTTTCTCCCCGTTTGCTTGTCTCGCTCTCCTGCGTTCGGATGCTTCCTGTTGTGGGCGAGAGGCCATGTTCACTCTTATTTTTGTGCTCATATTTGTATTCGTTACACCCGCCCCACCCTTTGTCTTCGGCGTGCTCCTTCCCGGATTTTGGAGGAATGCGAGGTCAATTGTGTGCGGTATGCACGGCTATGAGAATACACCGCATGTCTTCCGCGACATGCCGACTAAATAGAAAAATTTACTGTAGAGGCATCGCGAGGCATCTTTGTTGTCATCCGCTGGCTCAACACTTCCCCGTGGAACCGGACATTATGTGGAAATACATCGTTACGGCCCGGGTACCGATCGATTCTCTCAGTCCCTCTCTCCCTGGGATGGTTCAACGCTTCCCCGCGAACCGATATTTTTGTCAAAGTATACACCTTTAATACTATCACCTGTCAGCACTGGCGAGAGCTTCTTGTCGAGGCTAGACCAATACAATTGACTTCGGAAAGTAACCAAAAATCTGATCTTCAGTCCACACTACCACCTCACTCCGTGCTCGCACGACACCTAAGCATCTCCTCGACGGCAAAATACTACTCGTCGCCTGTCAGGCCGGAGAGGCACTCGATCCCCGAGAACGCCTTCGCGATCGCCTCCCCCGAAAAACCTTCCCGGTCTCGTCTTCCGCGGCGGGCACAACAACGCGCACTTACGCGGCGTTTTTCTCGCATCGGAGACGCCCGTTTCCTCCCGGGTCCTGCACCTTAGGCAACGCCCCGGGGGGGGGGCTCTCCACGTCACCCTCTTTACCGTGTCCCTGAATAGGATTATGCCGTCGTCTTCCTCCTCTAGCCACCCCGCTCTGATCCTTTGCGCGCTCCTTTTCGACCAGCTACGCGTCGCTAAAAAACACTGACAGTGTACCGAGAGACCAACTCCTCCAGCTCGGCCCCTCTGGCTCTAGACACGCCCTAATGTTGAAAAATAATATAGCGGCACAGGAATGAGAACCAAAGAGAAGTTAACCACGAACCCGGAACATCTCCGTGACAGACAAAATGTACTCGGACACCGACATGTTTTTGGGCATGCCATCGATGGTGGCGAGGGCACGCTTGACGTCTTTGTCGGGGGCCCGGAAGACCCTGCCTCTCCCGTCGACGAGGACCTTCTTCAGCTGGACGTAATTATCGAGTTGTCTCGCGAACCATTTTCTTAACTCGTAAGGGCACTCAGCTGTAACCGTCGGCGGTTTCCTCTGGACAGCCGCACGGATGTCACCCCGGACGGTGTTTCTAAAAGTTAACCCCCAGTACATCTTGTCGCAATACCCGTGAGGTACGGTAAAGTCGGCCGATTTTGGCCATCGCATTTTGGACAAGGGGTCGTGATCGTGCATGAGACTCCGAGCCCGAGCCTTGACCTCTGTATCACGGTTCCCCTTCCGGCCAATCACCTAGCGACGAGACAGCGCGGGCGAGAGAAACCAACCCCGAACCCTCAGCATCTCCTTGACAGACACATGTACTCGGACACCGACATGGGGCGTAGGCCAGCTATGTCGGCGATGGCACTCTCGACCTCTCGGGTCGTGGTCCGGAGACACCGCCGCTCTTACGTCACCCATCTCCTGAGCCTGGCGGTTTTCGACATGGATTGCTCGCTTTAGCGTTTTAGCATTGTTGTGGCCGTCCTTGTTGTAATTGCCCATGAGGCCCCGAGCCCAAGCCTGAACTCCCTCATCACAGATATTACCACGGCCATGCACCCATCGACGAGACGATGCGGGCAAAACAAAGCCCAGAGACAAAACACAAGAAACACATACATCTACCGGGGTAAATAGGTATTGGGATCTTGGTGTTTGCGGCGAAGACTCACATTCTCATCGATCACGGTCTCCGCGTCCTCGTCGGAAAGCTCTCCGCCCTCCTCCTCTTCCTCTTCGCCCTCTTCCTCTGCCTCCCGTTCCTCCTCTTCTTCCTCCTCTTCTTCCTCTTCTTCCTCTTCCTCTTCCTCTTCCTCTTCGTCGTCATCGTCCTTCATTACCACGAGTGCGTGGGTGTGCGTGGGGGGCGGTAGGAAGAGGAAGAGGGGAGAGAGGCTGTGACTGGTCGCCCAAACTATTCAAACATACTCAGTTTCACCAAACCAGACCCGAACATCCCAATTTCCTGTGGAAGGGCATCGATACTGTCGAGACATCGTTACCGCCGCCCTCTTTTCTCCATGACCAGCAAAAAACTTCCCCGCGAATTCTTTTAGAATGACACGACCGTTACTATCACGCAACTCCGGGAACAAGCAGTCATACGCGGATCACCTACAACATTTCATTCAGACCACCTCGCTCAAAATACCTCTGTCTTTCCGACCAACTCGGGCAAACATATCCCGATCACCTACATTCACATTAACTTGGGCATGCCGCATACCACACAACGTAACACGCCGGAGACTGGTAAACAACCGTCACACGGTACAGCCAGGTGCTGTATTCTGTGTTTGTGTGTGTGGTGTTATCTTGTGTAGCCCGGGAGATAGAGAGCAGGTCGCGGGAGCCACGAAAACCGTAGGTGACACAAGATACCGCACCCGTGTGAAAACAACTTTGGAGGTTAAAAATTCACACGGGTGTGGTATTCTGCAGGTGTGACTTATCTTGTGTGACCTGTGTGAAAAACTGCACTCAAAGGACTCCACACGCAGGGTGTGTAACATCAAACGAGTGTGATAAAGATGGTGTGATAATGTCATCCGTGGGATGAATGTGCTCACACGACCCCACCGGGAGTGGGTGTTATAACAAAAGGGCTGTGATAGCAATATACGCACGCGCAAATTGGTCGAGATCGGAGTCATTGTACAATGGCTGCATCGATGGATGGATGTGTTTCGATGGGAAATAAAGAGTCATCAATCATCAAAGTTGTGACTGCGTGCGAAATGCGGCGGAACATACTTCCGCGTCGGGGGTTGCAGCGGAGTGGCCCGAACCTCTCGTTAGCAGGCTAGAAAGGCAGACATACCGTCATTCCAGCATCAAAAGGGGTTGCGCATCCTGTTGTAGATTGGACGGGGCGTCAACTTGGTGGCGGACAGTCAACGTTTACGCATAAATTGTCGAAAAAGGAGCAATTTCGTGTCGGGAGCACGTGCTACGTGCTCGTGATTCGTGCTTGAGACGGCAGGTCACCACCGATACAGCCAAGGAGGCAAAAATCAAGCTGAAACTTGCGGAGGGCGCCTAAAGTAGTGTAGGACGGCCAATGGGGTGACTTCTCGCGCCTCGGGGGTTCGGCACAAAAAGAAAAGCGTGGCACGCGTTTTCCGACTCAAAGTGATCAGATAATCAGACAATTATTCAGACACACTTTTGTTTTTACCGTTCTGCGAGACCTCCAACGACCGGGAATGGTCCCGTAAAGGAATGTTAAGCGGGTGTGATAAAAGATGGTGTGATTATGTCACCCGTGGGATGAAATGTGCCCACACGACCCCACTCGCAAGGGATGAAGTAACGAAGGGCTGTGATAAAGATGGGGTGTGATAATGTCACCCGTGGGATGAAGTGCGCCCACATGACCCAACCTAAAGATTTACGATGAGAACAGCATTCGAATCCGAAACAACCCAAACAAAACATGTTCAACACTGCGGGTGCATGCGCCAAGACTTGTCTACAGCAGCAGTGTTAAGCGTAAAGAGCAAACGTAGGCACTGTTGGACATTTTCGATGACGCGAAGTAGAGTCACAGCGATGTGGAATCAGCGAATGAATGAATGTGGAGAAATGTTTCAAACTGTCGTTATTGATAGGTTTCAGAGTTGGTTCCCAGGCTTTGTCTGCGCGGAAGGCGCCCCCGGGGCATAGAGCCAGTTTTCGCAACTTTGACCGTCAACCACACGCGCTACAGAGGCTCGTACGAGCCTCCTGCATGCCCCTGAGAAGGAATCGCTAGAAAAAACTCGCTGCCGCGAGAGAAATAAATGCCGGAGCATGAAAAGTGCATACAGCGGTCTGGTGCGTGTGGTGAAAACAGGGCGTGCAAGAAAGAGAAATTCGCCGGCCAAATTGGTTGTGTAAAATGTTCTTGTAAGGTCGCGTCCGGGTCCCTGCTCAGTCTGTACCTTATAACGGACGCGGCTTCTTCCGGTGGCCACAGGCAAGTACCCAAAAAATATACAATGCGTCTTAAAACGTAGTACACTGTGTGCGTCTATTCCGAAAATCTCTGACAGGAGAGAGAAAGAGCGGGCAACCTACACAATTTATAGACATATACCGTAGGTTGCATAAGATATCACACTTTCATTAGATACCACACCCCCTCAGAAAACGTACACAATACCACACCCGTGTGCTATTTTTTTCAGCCCCCCAAAAAACGTCATTTTATCACACGGTGACATAAGATACCACACCCCCTGAAGTTGGGCCGCATTAAATCGACGGAGCCCCTGCTTATCACACGGTGTGACAACGTGAGGACAGAGATCACGACCACACCACCTGCTCGCAAGAGCCATGGAGGCGGACAATGTCGTGGAGGGTGGTGCAGTTAGGAACCCTGCTGAAAGCCCCGCGGCTCAGACTGCAGTGGGTAAGACTCCAGCGGCGGCCCCACGCTCCATAGCGTCCTACTTTCCACCCGCCCCGGGGGAACGTGGGGCTGCTCGGACGACTCCCTCAGCAGCCGCACATGACACCGCACGTACTGCTGAGGCCCGCTCAAAAGAATCTACTGCTACTGAGACTCCCACAGCACCGGCTGCGCCTGCCACCGCGGGTGCCGCCGAAACCTGCGAAGCAGAACCTACTGCTGAGAATCCCGCAGCACCCACACCCACACCCGAAAAGGCAGCTCTCCCGCCAACCACCAACACCCTGAGCGCGGCTACTGCTGAGAATCCTGCAGCAGCACCGCGCTGCGGAGAACCATCGTGCACCAACAAGCCCTTGTGGGCAGAGCCAGGGAAGGATATGCCGGAGTTTTGCGGCAGGCATGCGAAGTCTGGCGACGTCTACATCAAAATAAGGTGTGCGCAGAGCGTCTTGCAGTTTGCAGCACATGGGTGTTTGTGAGGATTCTCATGGCTCAAGCAAACCAAAGAACATGCCACGCCTGATTGCCTGATCGATAACCAGATCGAAAAATAGTGTGATTTTGACGTCGTGTCGTCGCGCTCGCCTCACTGCACATTGGCATGTACACACTACATTTACATGTAGTTCATATATTCTGGTGTGGGCGAAATGTTTACTGGATTGTTTTTGTCACACACACGACACGTTTCCGCATACCGTTTTTTGTGTTTGTGATGTTTCGGTAGGAAGACTGCGAAACCCATACCCAACACGTGCAAATATGTACACATAACCTCGACAGCAGTTCGTGCCTGTTTGTGTGAGATACGAAATAGGTGCCGTCAGCTGCTCACCCTCTGTACCTTGCATGCGTGGACGCCATGACTCTCAACCTGGTGGCCGTTGTCAGAGCTATCCGCTAGCCATCGTATTTTTGGTACGTTTGCCTGATGGTCGTTGGAGCGAGCGCATTGTTACAGATACTGCACTTAACGACACGTATGCTACATGTTTTGTTGCTTCCTCGAACTCATGCGCTTTTCAGGAACGTGCACCTGCCTGAAGCACCGACGACAGCAGCCGCAGCGGCGCCCGTCGGTGACGCCATGTTTCCTGGAGAGTCAGAGGAGTGGACAGATGGTTTCGGTGGGCGTCTCGACGGCACGCCGGCCGAGGGCAAGGGCAAGGGCAAGAGGAAAAGAGAGCCGCTGGAATTGGAGCCACCAAACTTCCCCATTAAGTTTGGTGGTGGCCAGAAACGCAAGCGGTACGATTCGGAATTCAAAGTAAACGCCATTAAGTACGCGACCATGCAAAGCCCGGGGGCGCAGGGGCCTAATGGAACCATCGGTGTGTCGTATGCGCAACGAGTGCTTGGGATTCCCGAGAAGATCACACTCTCGGCGTGGATAAAAGACAGAACAAAGTACGAGAAGCAGCTGGAACAGGCAGACCAGCTCGGGCCCAAACGGAAGAAAAAAGCCCGGAGCGTGAAGTCGTTCAACACGGGGAGGGTTAGGTCAAACGCTGAGGCCGAGCTCGAACTTCTCGACTGGATCAACGACGTTCGTTCGGAAGCCATCTCTGCCCGCGTCTCTACAAGGATGATCAAGAACAAGGCGGTATCGCTCAACTCGCTTTGGTTCGGCCCGAGGCCTGCAGCGAACGACCTGGAGGGCAGTAGAAAGTACCGCAACAAGCAGACTCACTGGTGCAGGAGGTTCCTTAGGAAGAACCGGTTGTCATTCCGGGCGGTTACCAGGCAAGGCCAGAAACTCTCTTCTGGGTGGCCTGCGATTGCCATGAAAGCCGTCAAGGAATGGAGGGCGCTTCGTCACGGAGGAATCGACGGTGGGGGAGGACGGAGCATGGGGGGGGCAACGAGCAGTGCGCCTTCGAAGCCACCTCTGTTGTTCAAGGAGGAGCAGAGCTACAGCATGGATGAAACTGCTGTGTGGATGGAGCCCGCTGGCACGTCGACCGTGGCGGTGAGTTCAATAGTGTTGCTTCGAGTCATGTGCCTGTCTGGTCGTTTCTTGGCATTCCGTGCAAACAGTGGGCATTGTGATGCAATATTTCTTGCCGTACCTACTCAGTGTCCAGCCAGTAAGGCTAGACGACGTTGGTGTTGTGCTTATGCCGGGTTAGAAGTTTCTTACCATTCGCATCCATCATCGCTGTACTGCAAAACCCATACGTTACTTTGTGCGTGAAGAGCTGTCATTCTCATCTACAAAATCGACCTTTTTCGTCGCCTCTGCTTTCTCTATTGTTTTTTGCTTCTTATTTTTGTCGTTCGCAGCACACCGGTCAGAAAGAGGTGGCCATCAAAACCGGTGGAAAGGAAAAGTTGCGGATCACTGCCGTGCTTGCAGCAAACATGAAGGGCGGCAAACTCCCGCCGCTGCTCATCTTCAAGGGTAAGCCTACGGCGCCGGGCAAAACCCCCCGC